TTTGCAGAGACAGGGGTCTCACTATGTTGCCCAGGCTGGTTTCAGACTCTTGGTTTCAAGCAGTCCTCCCTCCTTAGCCTCCCAAAGCATTGGTATTACAGGCATGAGCCACCACGCCCACCTGCCCACGTTGTATCATTCTGTTCAAGAGTCACATTGCTAAGAGACACTTGGATTGGCTTAGCTTCATCGTGCCCACCAGTTGGAGGAGGGGAGAGGATCTTCTGATGGCAGCCCCACTGGAATGATGTGAAATAGGGGAGGAGCAGTTTCTCTAAAGAGCATGTAGGTGCTTTTACAAAAGAAGAAGGGCCAGGCATGGTGGTTCGTGCCTGTAATCCTAGCACTTTGGGAGGCCGAGGCAGCGGATCACTTGAGGTTAGGAGTTCGAGACGAGCCTGGCCAACATGGTGAAATCCCATCTCTACTAAAAATACAAAAATATTAGCTGGGGTTGGTGGCGAGCGCCTGTAATCCCAGCTACTTGGGAGGCTGAGGCAGGAGAATTGCTTGAACCCAGGAGGCGGAGTTTGCAGTGAGCCGAGATCCTGCCACTGCACTCCGGCCTGGGAGACAGAGTGAGAGTCTGTCTGAAATAAAAAGAAAAAGAAAGAGAGAGAAGGAGGACTACTGGGCCTACAGAAACTGCATGCCCATCACACCTCCTCTGTATCTGTGAAACGAGGCTTGTGGCATAACCGAGAGTCCATGAAACAGTGCCTATAAGGCACTTAGTCAAAGGTGTCTGATAAATGACACTAGTTATTCTAGCCTCCTCCAGCCCCTTGTTCATTTTCAGTGTCTTTCTCCATCAAAAGATACTCACTGATTGATTGTAAATCAGTGGAGAGTAGGGGTTGCCCTGCAGGTCACATCTGCCTACCTCCTCCTGCTCATTGGCCCCGTGGAATGAAAGGTGTTCCCTGCCATTTTGGGGTATGGGCTGTGAGGTGACTGAGGGGCCCCATCTGGTAGCAGCTGGGACCCTCTGACACCCACGGTCATTAGGCTCAATGTTTGCCGGAGCTTTCAGGTTCACAGTCACTACACCCATGTCTTAATTTGAGCCTCACCACTTTTGGGAGGCAGGTGCCTGCAGATACTAGACAAGGAGACAGAAGTTCAGAAGTAGTGTAATTTACCCAAGGTCAAGTAATAAGTGACAAGGTCACAACTTGAACAGATCCCAGACTAAAGTCTTCTCGATCTATCTCACCAGCCCCTAAGTAGCTCCATAAAGCAAGGTTAGAGATACGTGTGTCTTTCTCACACCACTGCAGAGAGCCACTAACACACACACACACACACACACACACACACACACACACACGTAAGTAATTGAAACCAATTTCATAAAACAGCCCTTACCTTTACTGCCTACCATGCATTCCTATTTTCTTTGCTGTTCTATTCTTGTTTATTTGTTTCATGCTAGTCATGACTAGGGTTGCCTTATAATTGAGGCAACCAAATTGGGACACTTTTGCAAGTGAAAGAGGAACACTGCTAGTTACCCAGGGACAGCAGGCATAAACTGGATCTGTCCAGGGCACACCAGACATATCGTCACCCTGATCATAACCCACTGTGTTGATTTTGAGACCCACAGTTTGGAAAGCTCTACCTGGCCGTGCGGGGGGACCCCGGGTCAGCCTGTCTCCATAACTCGTATCTTTTCTATCTTGTAGGTTTGAGCGGTTCCGAACAGGCCAGACCACCAAGGTAAAAGGCTGCTTTTCTGGGACTAGATCAAGCCATGTTCATGAGAAGAAGGAGTACCATTCTTACCTCCCTCCCCCAGTGTCCTGGACAGGGTGGTGCTGTCTTATCCAGGCCCATAGAGAAATCCCCTTCTAACTTTGTATGCCCCTGTCCCTTTAAGGTAAATAAGGCTACGCCACCACCTGATGCCCAAGGGTCTCCCCAGCCTCCCAGGAAGTCCAGTTGAGCTGGACCCTAAGGGGAGGAAGGAAACCCCCTGACGCCCAATCATGGCTTCTGGGGCCCTGGTGACAGATCCTTGGGCAAAGCCTGCAGGCCCCAGTGCTTGGGGCAGACAGGAACGAAGCTACACGCAGAGGGGGATGATCAGGGCATCTCCTTCCCACCAGGCCCCAAGTGAGGCCGAGCCGGCAGCTGACCTGATCGACATGGGCCCCGAGCCAGCAGGCGCTGGCAACCTCTCCTCCCAGCTGGCAGGAATGAGTAAGTGTGGTTTGGAGGGCTCCAGCTGAGGGTACATTATGGTGCTGTGGGTACCCCTACGGTTTTAGGGGGTACCCCTGTTATGCACCCACAGCAGAATGTCAGTCTAGACCCCACCTGGCTGGGGTCCCAGGCTGAATGTTGCTGCAAGGTTGTACACTCGGGGCACTGCCCCTCGCAGCCCGAGTCGGAGCCCCCTTGGATCCCACCATCCTAGGACTGGCCCTCTGCACGGAGTTCCCCGTGGCTTCAGACGTCTGTGTGAGCCTGGGCAAGCTCCTTAAACCTCCTGAGCCGCTTTCCTCCTCTGTAACGGGAGTAGGGAGGGGAGCTCTTCCAGAAGTGCTTAGACCATGCCAGGCCCATGTTGCACTCTGGCTGAGGAGTCGGCCCTTGTCACTGTTATCACTGTGATCGGTTTTAATCTAATTTGCTGTCTGTTTCCTGCCAAGCCCCGGGAAATCATTAGCATTCCATTTTGAATCACTCATGCTACACTTTTTTGAAAACAATCGACCGCACATCTGATTGCCATCCTCCTGCCCAGCCGCTTCCCCTCGCAGATACAATGGATAGCATTTTGCCTGTTCTCTGACACTCACAGCAGCCCCAGGAGGGGAGAGTAAACTAAAGCTGGAGAGAGGAAGCGGCGTGCCCAAGGCCCCACAGCCAGCAGGTGCCTGCCTCGCACATCCCCCCACCCACATGGGCCTCGTCCCAGCACCAAGCCCTGGGCCTGGCAGTGGGCAGCTCAGCAGCAGCTCAGCACACAGGGGCGGCGTGTAGACGGCTCCTTCACGTGGCCTTTCTGTCCCTGCAGACCTAGGCTCTAGCAGTGTGAGAGCCGGCCTGCAGTCTCTGGAAGCCTCTGGTCGACTGGAAGATGAGTTTGACATGTTTGCGCTCACACGAGGCAGCTCGCTGGCTGACCAACGGAAGGAGTGAGTGGCCTGGCCCTGCCTTGGTCCCCTGCAGGTTGGGTGGCTCTGCTGGGGAAAGCCTCAGGGCCCTCGAACCTGGCTTAATGATGGGCACACCATGAGGAAGGGCACACGGCCCCTGCCGCACCCCTGTAGTGTCCCCTAAGGCCGTCCAGCATGGCCCGGCACCCCTGGGGTCAGTTGAGAGACTGCGTTCCCCACAGGCCGGGCTGGGTGGGGGAGGGGTGCCTAATGACCCACTGTGTGCCAGTGTCTTCCGTAGTCTGATCAGACGGGGAAACTGAGGCACAGAGAGGGGCAGGGTTGTTTGCCCCAGATCAAGCAGCCAATATTTGGCAGCACTAGGTTAGGAGCCCAGGGCTGTCTGTTTCCAAAACACGGCGTCTCCACCCACCCCCTCCTCCGGGCACTGTGTACCGAATCGTAAGCCCTCCAGGAGCAGGGAAGTCTCCTGATAAATCCTCAGGGACTTTCAAGTCAAGTCTTTTTCTGTTGTTCCATAGCCACCATTAAGTTCCAGAGAAAATTAAGCAGGTTCTGTGGCTTGCTCCAGAGCTGGGGCTCTGCCCTTCCCTGCGCACTGCGCATTTTCAGGTCGTGCTCTCAGCAGCATAGGCACGTGGCCTGAGTGTGTCCACCAGGGTCCTGCCCCCTGCCAGGACCTTCGAGAGAACTGGCCCCATACAGGCTTATAAGAGGAACAGTCTGCCTGATGTTTCTTTAGCCCTTTGCTTGTGACCCTCAGGGCTGAGCCATAGGCAGCCAGGATTTTCTTTTTTTTTTTTTTTTTTTTAGGCAGAGTCTTGCTCTGTTGCCCAGGCTGGAGTGCAATGGCACAATCATGACTCACTGCAACCTCCACTTGTGGGTTCAAGTGATTATACTGCCTCAGCCTCCTGAGTAGCTGGACTTACAGGTGCCCGCCACCACGCCCAGCTAATTTTTGTATTTTTTAGTAAAGATGGGGTTTTACCATATTGATCAGGCCGGTCTTCAACTCCTGACCTCAGGTGATCCACCCACCTCAGCCCCCCAAAGTGCTTGGATTACAGGCATGAGCCACTGTGCCCAGCCCAGGATTCTTATAGCTAAGGAAAGTTCTAGATTACGGGATCCTCCCACTGACCCCACTCAGCTCCTTAGAGGTCATTGTGGTGTCTTTGGGAGCTTTGTCAATGGGCCTTCAGAAGGCCCAGGGATAGCCTCTCCACACCCACAAATCCAGGTCAAATCCGACAGGCCGCGGCCTGCCTGGGTCCTTAGGGCTGCCTGGCTATTCGCTGTATCTTTCTTTTTTTTTTTTTTTTTTTTTGAGATGGAGTCTCGCTGTGTCTCCCAGGCTGGAGTGCAATGGCGTACTCTCAGCTCACCGAAACCTCCACCTCCCAAGTTCAGGCAATTCTCCTGCCTCAGCCTCCCAAGAAGCTGCGATCACAGGCACGCACCACTACGCCTGGCTAATTTTTGTATTTTTAGTAGAGGTGGGGTTTCACCACGTTGGTCAGGCTGGTCTCGAACTCCTGACCTTGTGATCCGCCCACCTCGGCCTCCCAAACTGCTGGGATTACAGACGTGATCTACCACACCTGGCCAGCTGTATCTTTCTTTAGTCTGGGCAGAGTCTGTACTTTTAAGCTTGGGTGCCCTGGGACCAGCAGCTCATGGTTGCCGTGGAGTTAGGGGTGCTACCAAGGCTACCCTGCAGAGGCAAACTAATGAGTCTGGTGGGGCTTGCAGCCTGGCACTGCCGGCCACACTGGAGAGCCCTGGGACCTGCCCTGGATCACCAGCCTGGCTGAGGTTTGCTGTTGCGCCATCACTCCTCTGGGGAGCAGGCCCTGGGGACAAGGAAAAACACACCAGGAGCTGGTCCCCCAGGGCCTGTAGTCTCACCGGGAGAGTGACATGCACTGGGACCACCGCTGCGAAAGGCTAAGTGCTGTCCTGGAGGGGGCACCAGGCTCTGCGGACACAGAGAAGGGGGCATGCAACTCTGCAGAGGGCACTCAGGGCTGGACCAGGTGCCTGGTAGTCAGGAAGGCCATTTCAGGCACTAGGAACAGCATGTGCAAAGGCTGAGAGGCAGGGTGGGAGACAGGTGCCCTGGCTCCCACAGAGCAGCTAGGAAAGACACCCTTCACACAGGGAAGGGGGCAGGATGCTGAGATGGTGGCAGGTCCCACTGGAGGCAGTTGATTTTTTTTTTTTTTT